AAGGCAGCCAACCAGAGAAGGACATGGATGAGATGCAGTATATAATGAGCGGCGTGGCCAGCGTGGCGGACTCGGATGGAGGGCGCCTGGCGCGTGGCTCTGGCTTCTGATTGGTCAATAAAGCCTGTTCTGTTGTACCGGTCTTTTTCATATTAGGGCTCGGGTATTCTACATTGGTGGCAGCGGACGCGTTTGAATTACGCGAATCGGACCCATCCCTTTCTCTTCTATGGTCAACACAGGCAAAGACCCTTGAATGCCAGCTGAATTTGCCATGGCGTTCATCCGATGTCCAACAAAGTGGATCCATAGACATTGCCCGGGATTAGGACTACCGCATCTGAAGGGGCATTGGCAATCAGCGACGACGAGTTGGACAATGAAAGCCAGCTGGACTGCATCTGCGAATGGACCTTCAATGGATGATGAGTCTTTCCTGCAAGTCTACAAGAGCAAAGTCCCTCGTCAACTATTCGCATGGGCCACTATTCTGCCAGATGTGAGGTGCGGGGAGTGTCGAACTGGATATTTTACCAACATTGGAAATCAACAACAGTGCAAGGAACCAAGCCAGAAGCTGAGAACAGCTTCCCTTCTGAGGGGAGGCAGTGTGGCGACGGATGAGGGCGCAGACATTTGACCACACTGGTTTCAGCAAATCCTGTGTCTCTTTGCGTTCCAATGGCATGCGTGGAAGATATCCAGCAAACTAGTGACAGACACGTATATGAAGCTATATATATTAACGATTGTTAATGTCAGGATGCATGTTTCAGGAGCGACCCTAGACTGCCCACATGCACCGACTACCACTAAGTTCAACATGTCATTTTGTCACTGTCAATTGTCTTAGCGTTGTAATTGGTAAGTTGCAGTATGCTAAGTATCCGAGACACGTATTTTCAAGTAACACCACTCTTATGATCCTTGGTCAGTTTAAACATGACACTTTTTCTATTCAGTATACCCGTGGATATCTAAAAATTAATAATAAAAATTTACATATTGTCGAGCATAAACGTTTTCGTCTCAGGTAGCTATTCTAAATATTTATTACATGTTGGCTTGACTCGATAGTGCATTCAAAAATATGATCTTAGTTATTTTTGTTATGTACGGGAAAGATGTGCTTTCATTTGAAAGTCAGGGAAGTCTGCATTCAATATTACTATTTTCTTTACAGAATTCATATTGTTAAGAATTATCAATTGTGGTGTTAATTTAAAAATTTTGTACCTCTTTGCATTGCTACCATTCTGTGAGCTCATTTCTCGCGAATTAATCGAAATTTTTTAGTCACGGTTGATTAGTTGCATTAGTCCGACATTGGAGAGAAAATAAATCCTAAAGTGCTCCTTTTACTGTTCAAGAACTGAATAATAATTCGAAATCAATTCATAAATGAAGTGATCAACTTAGTGGGACGCATTTTACTTTGCGATGAGCGCCTTGTAACACGCTACGTAGACTTGGAATAAGTGTAATAAAAACGCGAGAGACGATGTCTTACCAGTTCATTAATACTGTTAAACAAAAAGGCTTTTATTTATATTCCTAATTATATTTGTAAACCGACATTTTGTATTATAACTATACGCCTCGTGTCTTAATTTAAAGTTTAAATTTTGTTTTACCTAGCATTAAATATATTGAACAATCGTAATAGACATTCTCCTAAAACATTACCAGGCATTTACCTTTTATTATTTCTTAAAATGAACCCATAGCTATGCACACTTTTGATAGCCACTTCCTATTACCGTGCTTGGATTGATTTAATGTGAAGATGCCGTACAAAACAGCAGCTGATACTGATGCGGACTTGTTATCTGAGCGCAAAGCCGAATATTCTCAACTTAAACTTGCTTTGCATCTTGCTCAAGCTGACCGACAGCATTATACCGATGAAATGCAATCAGCAATTTGTAAAATGAAGTATGACTGCTTATTGCTATTTTCTATTCAAGCCCTTACTTATCATGCAAAGGTTAGGGAATTGTCTTACTAAAAGTTATTTTGATTGTGTGTTGAAACCTTAGTAGCTGTTTTTGCTTTCAAGTAAATAAATATCTGATAAGCGTTTATTTGCTCAAAATTACGGTATCACAAATAAAAATTATATTTACAGTTACAAAGACGCAAAAATATTTTATAACTCTGCGTACTTTGTGCCCTAAGAACGTATCTCAAAATATCGTCAATTTAAATGGTACCCACAAACATCTTGGAAGTTACATTCGACTGGTCTAATTGAGAATTACTCATAAATGTCAAATTTTTCAAATTATCTTAGAAAAACTATTGAAAAGCTGGAATCTGAGCGGAATGAACTGTTGGAACAAATCTCAGCAGTTGATAGCAAACTAAATCAAGCAAAAGATCAGCGAACCTGCGAAGATTTGGCAAACCTTGCTGAAAATAAGGACTGGTTACAGCAACAGATTGCCCAGGAAAAAGCAAAGCATATCGAATTAGATGTGAAGGTACCTAAAACTGTAACTATCTGAGCTTAATAGATCTTTTACCATATCATTTTTTAAACTAAAGGAACAAACTTAATTTGTGTGATGTTTTGTCAGTCTCGATTCAATGGAAGAAAAGATTTAGGGGTAATAGATTAGATAAATTCCATAACCACACGGGTATTCAGTAAAATTCTTAAGAAAGGGTCAGGAAGAAAAACTTATTTTCATGTACTGAGGAAATTGGTTGACAAATGAACATTACTTAGTTGGTCAGCTGACCTGAACTCATGTTTTTGTTTCTTTGACCCTATCTCTGATTTACATAAGCACACTTTGTAGCGCATCAGACACACTAGATTAAATGATCACCCTAAAAGGAACTTGACTTGTAAAGTGTTTTAAGATTTTGCAACCAGAAATTTATGATCATAACCAACTTAGTTCAAGTTATGTAGGAGATGGTTCCGTTTAATCGCAAATGTCTTTTTTATTGACTTTCACTACATTTATACTTTGCATGGCCTAGATGGTTCATCACAACACTTCACAAAAGAGGCAAACGTGCAAGTAACATAAAATGCATATGCGGCATTAATGTAAAATTCCCACCAAAATTAGAGGGCAATACTAACTACTTATATTTACTTTCCTCACACATTAACGCTCACTGGGGTTTATGAGTTTACCAAAAAGCTTTCATTACAAAGAAGGATGAAACACCAACACTATCTTTTTTATCATTTATACTCGAATGGTGTAGACGCGGGAGCTGGAAAAGAACCTCTGGTCACTAATTCACTCTGCCGGAAGCGCACAAAGCGCCCAGGAGGCCATGGATAAGCTACGCAAGAAACAATTAGGCCTTGAGGGCCGTGTTGTACATGCTCTAAAGGCGTACAATAATGCTCTTGGGAAAAATATGCGTAAGTCTCTTGCTAGTTTACTTCAAGTCACATCCTTTTACTGAATTCTTTCGACCAGTAAAACATTTTGCTAAGCTTTCAGAATCTGCAACAACAAATGCGTTCAAATTATTTATTACTATTGCTGAAGGAAATTCACATAGTTATAATTGCTATAAGTCCTAAAAACAAATCCTTACGCACCTCCTTAAGATTTCATTCAGGTAGGAGCTTGACTGCTGACCCTTCCTTATGTTTCTTGATTTTCATTAATGGTTTAATCTTGACGGTTTGGTTTTGCCCTCTGACAATGTTTAAAACGTAACTTGAGACGTATTTTAGCACAAGTTTTCATTAGTGGTGAGACTGACAATGCTAACCTAGCATCATACTTTTTACTTTAATGCACTTATTGATTTACTAGAACTTACTTCTACTTTCTATAATCTTTTAAAAGCTTACTTGGGGTTTTTCATTCCTAAACTTTGTTAAGAGATAACACAGGTAAGAACTCTATCAAAAACAATTGCTTCAAGTACTAATCAAAACCAGAAATGAGTGCCACAACTTCAGTCCTCAGATCCTAAAGCAGAAAAGCATGATTTGTGTGCCAAAGGTATTGTTGAGGCCCTTTACCACACAAAGTAACCCAGGAAGGAAATAACTCAAGCGATGGCAGGCACGACCGTTTACGAGGTAGTTCAACAAAGTTGTGTCCATGTGCTTTTACAGTTGAGTGGACATGTAAAAATGAACGCAGGCGTCTGTGAGGTCACATGGCCAAAGCGGTGGTGGTGGTGGTACATTCAGAGGGATTAATGAACCAGCGACCTCACGTGACTGACGGGCAGGTCGTGAAAGGAGGGGAAGCGTGCTGGAAACTGCGAGGATTGGGTTATTGGACGTGAATCAACACGATTCACAACAGTATGTTTGTACTGAATCACACAGGTTTCTCTATCATTTTGAAATCTCGGGAATGCCCTATTGGATGTGTGAGCATTCGACAAGATGGACGGGACATAGCCATTCAGTTATGCACCGGCTAAGGGTGTCCGTCTACACGTGTGTGTCTATGCATAAAAGGACAGTTAGGTAAACAGTTGAGGTTGATGGTCAGGAAGGCATACACGGATGTGAATGGTGAAACCGGTCTGAAGAACATTTGGGTATCTGAAGAACAAATAGTGAATGGTAGGTAAGCCCATGTAAGTGTGCTTTTGTGGAGCGGTAGGAAAATTCAGTTAAAGCCTTTTTTATGAGGCAACGATGAATTGTGGTTTCTAAGTGGAAATAACCCAAATTAAAATATTTGCTATCTTTGCATTCTAGGTTGATTTCTTTCCGCAGCATATCTCGGAGTCCCTTTGCATTATTCACCCTGGTGTTAACATTGTGGGCGAACAAAAAACCAAGTTGAATACCTTCAAGTTATGATGGTGGAAAACGCTGTTACATTAAATTTAGTCGGTCTCTGATTTCCCAATTTATCATTTTTCCTTTTACTTTGCACTAATCTTTTGCGCGTGGCTGGATTTTAGAGCTACGAATTGAAATCGACACCCTGAGAATGGAGCGTGGCCGGTTTGACTTGATTTACAGAAAGATGGATACAATATTAACTAAAATGAGGAATGAAATTAATCGTCTAACAGAACTCACCACTCAAGCCTATGATCAAAGGTACAACAACCACTTAGCTTGAGAAGTTCAAGGATCTAATACGAACAGCCGAGTACTTTATAGGTTAAATAACAGTGGTTTAATTTAGCCACAGCATTAACCACGAAAACTAATATGGTAACCAGAGTAAAAGCATGTGACTTATTGTATTAAAGATTGACTCTAAAACTTAGAAAACAAGCATTTTAGGTTCCCCCAAGGAAAAGATTAGGAGGTTGAAAGTGACAGGCTGCCATGGTATCGGCTCATGGGGACTGGGTCCACCTAATTGACTACCTTGTAAGGCAGTGTCTATAATGTGGGTTCAGTTGCTCACATCGCTCTGGATGTAAACAAAGTGGTCCAGCTACCTTTGTAAGTTTTCATTCACGACATTAATCAGCGGCATATTTTCGGCCATTTCGACTAATCTATTCTCAAACAAATTGCCGAATGCATCTGTGAGAATGCGAAGTCGTCAGTAATTAAATGCACAAAGAAGTTTAAGTGCACCGATTCAAGGTTCCTTCCCTTTTGATAATTTTTCATTACTTTAAATATTGAGTGCACTAAAACTCAGTCGTCGAGATTTTGGCTTTATATTGTAAAGAACTACAAATTAAGACACTAAGGAAACAGACTTCTAAAGATTATTACGGTATGAAAAACCAGTTTCAAACTAATTAGGATGAATTAATCTGGAATTTTGGTAAAAACCATGTTCACTCTTCGGCTGAACCGACTAGGTTTGCTGAATTATTTCAGGGTTCCTGCACTTGGTCAAAGGCAGGTTCCTACATTAAGGTTTACCAGATAATCCGGTAAATCCAGTAATAAATTTGTCAAAACTGCCATTGATTTTAGGGAAGAAGCATCTCAAAGGATTCAAGCATTGACAGATAAAGCTGAGAAGGACAACCAGCAACATAATATTGAGATGAAAGAACTTGTTCGTCTTATCGACCATGAAAGAAAAATAAAGCAATTTATGAAAGTAAAAGCCGCTGAACGTGAAGAAGACCCTCAACTTACTGCTTGGAAGGTATAGCTGTCAAGTGGCCTTCATACAAGATTTGCAACTAATCTAGCTAAAACTAAAGTGTCAGGTTTAAAAGACGGGATCTCGGGAAGAAGCCGTGTATTTATTTTAGACAATTTGGGTTAATTACAGCTCAATCCCTGTAGAGGTGAAGGAGGAAACTCTCCCCAGTAGTGAGTAGAACTGTCACACTCATGTATATTTGTATTGTTTTAATCGAAATTCGCAGAGCTAAAATAGGGACAAAGTGATAAACTGTAAATGTATCACAAAGTAAACAACTAATGCTGATGACATTGTCTGAATTCTTGTTGACATCATCGTCCATTGTGGTTGCATGAACTAGTATTAAAATTAATAAGCACTATCTGCATCTGCGTAAGGGACTTACTTTGCGCTTTCAGAATCTTACTCTGAAATGTTCCTTAGATGAACGTTTATATACAAAATTTTGCAGGCTATATACACGCGTTTGAACACTGTTGACTAGGGTGCTGTACAAAACCGATGAATTCACCCAACTTTACTGGAGCAATTCGCCTGTCGCACAAGTTATAAGTTTACATGGTACTGTTTTATAATTCTGAAGGCAAAATAAAATGGCGCCAATTTACATAGACACTCTGTGGTGCATTGCTTTTTTTGTAGAGACTCGGAGGTAGATAAACATAAATGATGGTTTACTGAACTTCTATTACATAAGCATTTGCATGTTTGTTTGTTTGCGCAAGAAATGTAACTAATTTACAAACTATTTTGTTTTCTGGATGATACAAAAAGGATCCCCTCAATCTCTCTGCTTATGTGGTGTGTTTGAACTTTAGCTAAATATGCGAGGACTTCTGTATAGACAACTCGTGTGGTCCTAACTGGCACGTAAATGTCAGATAGAGTAAAATTAAGAAAATCCTGATTTTTTTCCGGATAATTTGTTATATATATTTTTTTTATTGACTTGGAGCTATGAATTTCCAAAAGTCAATGATTTTTACAATATAACAAGTTGGCATGGTAAAATTTGCCTTGCGCTTTCATTTTGATATGCTACTTTTGGGATGATTAAAGTTCGGACGCTTCATTAGCACACATTGTGCCTTAATCCTTTTTTCCAAAATAACATTAGAACTTACTACTCATTTAGGAACTTGGTTATTGTGTCATCCCTTTTATTACTCAAAAGCAGCCCAGAATTTGAAGTAGCACTACGCCTTGACAATAAACAAATTTTCAACTCTGTAGGCAAAGAGGGCGATGGAAGCAGAGGAGAAGCGTGTTAAAGTTGAACAAACAATTCGTCGCTACGAGGAGGCCTTCGACAGAATGCTCGTTCTTGCCAAAACGTCAACGACGGATAAACTTGTGAGCAGCTTCCTCTACAATGAGGACAGGAACTTCGCCTTGTTTAATTATGTCAGCGTGATCCACGACGACATCGAGAGGCTCATCATTGAAAACCTCGAAGTAGGCATCTAATTATTTAAAAAAAACTAGCTCCTTCATAAAGTTTGCAATTCTGAAGTGCATCTTCCAGATTTAATTTTTTCACCTTTAACGACAAAGCAAATTTGCAATTTGAGTTTGATCATATCAAGAAACACGCGTCACATCTTCCTCATGAAACAGTGGTTTAAGATATTTTCCTGAATATTTGATTAGGCTGAAACATACGTTGTGGCTACTTGCCTAAAGTGATCGTTAAAATAGCTTAAATGCCGGTTTTCCGATTGACTCTACAATGCTTGGTGAAGCGGATAGTATTGCTTAGCAATGCCTAGCCGTTACAATGACACGAGCAGTATCGAAACACCAAGTGTTTATTATTTCGGCATTATAATGACTGTCAACATTCAGATTCACGTTTCCAGATTACCAAAGAAATAACAAATTACCGAACGTGGATGAACAATGCAATTGCAGAGAAACGTCAGAAGTTGGACGCCCTTGAATCAGCAAATAGGCATGTTGAGAAGGCGACGGAGAAAACTCGTACCAAGCTGGAAAAGACGAAGCACCTTCTTCAGGAAACTGCTGTCATGACTGGTGACTTGGCAGAAAAACTCCAGTGTGACACGTGAGGACAGGCCTGATTAGATTATTCATGATCAGTATCCCCAGAAAACACATTTTCTGCCTTCTTTAAGAACATTTGCTTAAGCTTCAATTATTTTGGCATTAGTACTAACCACTGTTACGCTTACTTGGTGCGGCTCCTGTGCTTACTAGAACCAACCTGCTAAAATGCAGTTATTTTAATAGTTGATCGAGGAATTTCAGTGACTGTTTTGTTTCCGAATCGTCAGCACTTGACCTGCAATGTTAGAGAGATGTTCAACCACCTCGTTCATCATTCTGCATAGTGAACGTTCATGTTAGTGTGAGTAGCCGGCAATGGGCTGCTAGAGTTCAGTAAACCGATAGTCAAGTTTGGCATGAAACACTGACCTTGCCTACTTGCAATAGATGTTTAAATCAATATATGCAGGGCATTCCTTTTGTTAGGTTTACGATTAAGTGTGACTTGAGAAGCTAGCCAGTCCAGTGATAATGGGATTATTAGCGTCAAATTGTAGATATGCTGAACACACCAAGAAGCTGTTACAACTGCTGCATTAGTCAAATGCGTGATATGCTATTATCAACGAAGTAAACGGAATAAATCCCTGGGTCATATTTGTGATTTCGCTTTTTAATCCAAAGTATCTAGCTGCATACTTGTTTATAACTTGTGACATTTAGAACAAACACGTTCTTAGCTAAACGATATGTTAGACATCGTTGCTACATGGCTTAATTGTCTTTTAGACATAATATAGAGTAAATCACCTCAGTTTGCATTATTGTTTATCAGGAGAAGGGCTAAGCATGAGTGACTGGAGTTTGATACCTTAATTTATATTAATTTAAAGTGATCGTGGATGGTATATTCCTCTGCTTTCGAATTAGTTGGGACCTCCACATTGAATTTATACTCTCCTATTACCATCAACAGCTACGCTACTGTGTAGGCTTTTTATTCAGTAGTAAAACATCTCAGTAGATGGAACTAAAGCGATTCTTGGTCTTTAACAGGACTGCACTTGAAAGTCGATTGGCAGCCTTAAAAGAGGTAACCACAGAAACGGTTCTCGACTACTTGGAGTTGATTGAAGGACGCATCGATAACTTGCTGCTTGTTCGTCAGTTCATCGCAAATATTGACCCGGACGCTCCATACATTGCAAAACCCATTTTGATAGGTGGCAATCTTCTCCCAGTTGATTCAATCCAACCTTTCATTGATCCACCCAGTTTCCCGATAGACGTCGAAGAAAGTGAGTTAGGCGATAAGATTTGAATGTTACACTGGTAGTTAAATTAATTGGAACTCCTGAGTCAACAAGTCACTCGCAACCTGTCACCTTGGTACTTTGTTCAGGGAAGCCCTTCGGATTTCAAGTCCGAGTTTCAGTGGTATGCGGCTCGTCGATACGAGTCACATCCCACAAATTGCTTGTGGTTTTGCACGGATATTGATACTTTTTGTTTAGTTGACATCCGCATAATTTACTTTGGTACAATGGATGGTGGTTTGCTGGCTGTGAGTCTTGCTGCTGTGTTTGGACCTCTAACAACAAAATCCGACTTTCCATGGTAGTCTAACGCAGTAACGCCTCAAGGAATTCTAAATCAATCTTCTTTCACTCAGACAATGCGCAAATGAAAAGTTTGTGTTTTGTACATTGTAGGCGCAACTGAACGTGATCTGGAGGAGCCATTGTCACGTGAGGAGCTGCACAAGCGCGTTATTGTCCTGATGAAGACAAAGCACGAAGAGGCATCGGAAAAAGAGGGCGCCGTGGACACATAGGCGCCAAAAGTTCAAACATCGAAAACCAAAGGGCCAACATAGCTCAGTTATGACTTTGCTTTGCGATATTGGGGTGCTACTGGATAGTTTTACCTGACAAGTATAGCGCTATCTACGACAAATTTTCATCAAATTGCCTGTGCCAAAAGGCCTTTTATCTCACTTCATCTGCGCTGAACTGGAAATAGTGATGACTGCTTAGGCTAAGTGAAGCCATACATAGCAAGGTGCCTAGTAGTTTCATGGTGATCGTAGTATTTCTGACCATAAGCAGGAGACACTCCAGACGAAAACGTTTAGGTGTTGGTGGGTAATCGTGAAATTTGTGTGCCATTCAATGAAAAAATTCACGTGGAGCCTCTCGCCAGGCCATTTGCTTGAAAAACCTCAAAATGCTGATCGAACACAAGGTGGGACATGGGGCTTTACGTCCGCCCAATAAACTGCTTCAGCTTTAGGCAAAAGCTAAATATGTTGGAGCGTGGTGATGGTTCTGCGATATAGCCTATGTCACAATGCAATTTCGGAATACAGACAAAATATCGTGACATTCTTGGTAAGAACTTAACAGAAATCCAACCGTTCACAAAGGTCAGCGGCCCGTGGTCAGTATGGATGCTAAATGTTCAACCTTTGGAAATATTTGGCGTTAATACAAATAACCAAGTGATTACAATAGAGGGACTGCAACGCTTTAATTAGTGAATTAAATTTTCCGAGGAAAACACGTGGGACTATATTGTTCCACTGTTGGTCTGTTGCCAAACTGCACCCGCGGATAAACATGAACATTCGAAAATGTGGGCAGAGGAACATGTGATTGTGAGAGCCTCTTTTCTCGCACTGAAAGCGTCGGGTGTCTCGTCTGTCATGTTCAGTCTTTTGAGTTACATTTTTAAACGATTTATTCGATCAAGAAGCTTCTGTGGTACATTTGACAGGAACGGACATTAGAAATTAATCATACACCGAAAATATCAGAGTTAGCTAATTGACCCGGACTTTGGGTACTCACGAATCTCCTTCACACTTGTGTTGTTAAAACATGATAGGATAGGGACTCAACTGTTGACCAGATTGATAAAATCAAAGTTGCGGGTTCTGGTTGTTTATGTGCAGTTTGCAACAACGTTGGAGGAGATGACTAAGCGAACGAGTGGTCATATGGCTTAGCAGGGAATCAGGGCATTAGTAAACATGTCGTCTTGTCATGTGTACAGTATGCTAACAGCGGTGAATTGAACAGCTTCATGGCAATACCAGTAGGCCGTAGGGGGCATGCCCAAGCCAATTTTAAGTACTACAATTACACTTCGATAGTGTATTAATATTTAGAATTGTTTCGGCTGATACTCAAGTGCTGACGGTTTCATCTAGTCAAGAGAAGAGGTAGGCCCAAACCTGATGCCATAAAAAGGAATCACAAAATGTTAACGTTCCGTCAGACTAGACGAATGTTTGGCCAAGTGATCTTAAAGGAGGCAGGAAAATGTATTTTCTGGTGATACTGATCATTG